AATTGTTTTTGTTCTTAATAAGGCCGCGTCAGTATACGATTGCCGTTCACTCCCGTGTTTCCCTTCCCTCATGTTTTGTTATTTTTCCACCAAGCGCAGAACAATAGAGACCCTTCTATCGTAACTCCTGTTTACGATAAAAATTTCTAAAAAATTGATGTAATTTTACGCAGCACACAATACAAAATCAATTTGAATTTAGCAGAAATTTCATTTAAATATCGAAAGATTAAGGGCCGGTTGTGTGTTCCAATCTGTTGTGGTGTAGGGGAGACCGGGGCTAAGCCGACAGCGGGGCGAACTTGACACTAGGCTTTTTGCCAATTTAAATCTATCGTAGAAACTTGCCTTTGCTACTGTAAATGCGTCTTTATGTGCCAGTATTATCAACGGAATTTGGTAACATTCTGAGTTATAGTGTAATTTTTAACGCGACATAAGTGTTTTTGATAGTGAAAAGTAATTTTTCTGATCTCTCGAAAATGTCTACTCTTTCATCGAGCTTTACTCTTGCGAATTTACCGCTAAGTGATTTTGATGGGAAATTCGATGCTTTATACGAATCCGATAATAATTTTTGCATATTTTCAAAATTTATATATTTTTGGAGTAACAAAAGTAAAAAACGACGTTCGGGGCTAAGTCGACACGACGCCACCGGGGCAAAGACGACATTAACCTAAAGTGACATTATCGCAAAAAAGGTCATTGTTTCGTCCGATTCCGATGACGATTTAAGGAATATCTGTTGCGTGGGTTCGGAAAACATTTCATTAGCTTCTAATAACAAACAATGCATCTTATGCAACCGTATGGCTCATGACGAATGTGTGCGCACATCTGATCGCGAGTTTACGTGTATGTATAAATTGTTTTTCAGACAGTTCAGAAAAAGATAATTAAAAATTTAATCTTTTTTTTCTCATTATTTTAAATAATTGTTTACTTTATTCCGACTTTTTGTTTCTAATATACAATGTCTTTTTATTTGATAAACAATGTATTTTTATTTTTATACAATGAAAAAATAAGTTCCAGATCAAATGGTGTCGATTAAACAAAGTGTTGAGTTTGCCCCGGTGGGGTGTCGAGTTCGCCCCGTCATTTTTCAATTCGAAAATTTGTCTTCGCGTCACTTTTCCTTTCCTGGCGGCAAAACAAAGCGACGTACAGCAAAACTTCCTGAATCAATTTTGTACCTGAAGAAACACTCTTTAAATGTATATCATTGAATTTGCCTAAAAATTTTAATTAAATATTAAAAATTGCCTTTGAAAAAATAGTGTCGGCTTAGCCCCGGTCTCCCCTACAGTTCATATATTTACAGAAAATATAATTTTTTATTTATAATTATTAAAAAATTAAAGTTTTAATTTTAAAATTATATTTTTAATTAGAATCTTAATTATATTTAATTGCAATGCTATTATCGATAATGCATAAGAAATATGCGCAAATAACATTTTACAAATATATTTTGTACTTTTTATCCCTACACAGCAATTATTATTGAGTCTATCGCAGTCCTGCTGATTCATTTCCATCAATTCACGATCATAAACGACCATAATGCATTATCTTCTGCTTTTTCTCTCGCTACGTTATTCTTTTTTCCGCGATTACGCGATTACCCGTCGATCGTGCCATTCATTTCCCTCCTTCTTGCAGCGAGTCGGAAAAGTTTTCGTAGCGGCGCCGTAAACTTTCTCGGGCGCGCACGATCAATCATCGGGCACTCGAAGCGATTTTTGCGAGCAACACGAACTTACGAGCTTTCTTCGTCGCTCTGAGGCATGCAAAATAGCTAGAAATTAAATTTCCTCGGCCAGATGTTTCGGCCGCGCATCTCACGAATAGACGTCTGCTTTTCCTCCGCCATGTCTACAGCCGGAAAACAATAATGGAGGCCGACGCGACAGGGAATCGAAGGGAAGAGGGACAAATCTCAATCTCATTTGACAAATAGCAGATTAAACAAAAACTTAATTATGAATGTCTATATCCATGGCTCCTTTGTTCGTTTAAATAATTATACTACATGTATATTATTATTAATTCAAATCGTTTGTTTGAATTAAAAAATGGGATATATATTATATTGTCTCTCTCTTCGATTCTTTAAAAATAATTCCGATTTTCCTACTATTTTTATACTTTAACATTGTTATAATTATATAGTAATTTTATCACTTACCCAAAATCTCCAGTCGTCACCACAAATACAGAATTAACCGATTTTCTATGCACTGGATAAAATCACTAGACCACCTAAAAAGAAAACAAATAAAAAATCCAGAATTAGTAATAAATTTAATAAAACTAAACGAAATCAACTTTTAAAAATAACAACATATAAAAGAACGGTTTCTCCTTCTCTTCTGTTCCAATATAAAAACTAATCTATTAACTAATTCATAAACAGAAACAACTTTATCTATTAAAAAGTTTAGAGAAAAAGTATGCAAGCGAAGTTAGCAAGTTTATTAAAAACTATATAAAAAAATAAATATTTGAAATAACAATCGATAACCACAAGCAAAGTCAATACGTTTTCATTTCGCTGTATTTTATTTTTAATTGCGCAACCCGATAAAAGTTTCGATTAAAGAGATAAAGAATTCCTGGAATCGTTGTCTCAATAATTCAACTTCGAATTGATCAATTAATTGTGATGCTGTTGAGCCACTTTCCCGCCACCACAGTTGATTTATATTTCAATTTCTATCTCATAGTTAAGAGACAAAGATATAAAATTCGATCAACCATGCGATTGCCCCTTTAACTAATTGTTTTCATATTACCACCGACGAGATACTATTAGTGATTCATACATATATTATTTAAAAAATGTATGTCAGAAATTGATAAGTGATTGGCATACATGACTGCATGATACATAATATAAAGCTAATCCTTATATTTCGGCCTGTATTACGAGCGATTTTTAGGTGTTATTAAAGAAATAAGCGCACACCTCCGAAAAATTACGTAAAGCTCACTGGGGGTATGAGATATTAAAAATATATGTTTTGATAGTGAGCATATCGACATTGTCATGACAAAGAGGCGTAAGAGTCTTTTACCTTTCACAGGAGATCCATTGAGATTATCTGGATATTTCACGTTCTACGTACGTCACTCCAAACTGAAGACTCCGCCTGAAGATTCCTGCTTTTTATAGACCTCTTTTAGAAAGGTATTAATAGGCGACCAAACCTGTTTCCGGTTGAGAAATTCCTCGAAAAAATAAGAACCCAGGTAGCAAGCACTCGTCATTTTGACGTCAATATTTGGTCATAATTGGACCACGTCAATCATAAAGTTACGAAACATTTTATAAATGTAGGAATATTCCTGTGAAAAATACTGTGAAAAATATGTCATTTTTACGTTAAACTTTAGGAATAAATGACGTAACATACGTCATAAAATGACGTAAGAATTACGTCATTATGACGACTGTCTGCTACCTGGGAAGTCAAGGCTTTTTTAGACAAGTTTATTATCAGCACTTTTACGACCTCGTTATTAACATAAACAAGTAAGGAAGAGTTGCCGAATGCGTTAAATCGTACTTCATCAAATTTAACATCATTGCTTAACATAAATATTATTTTATTCAGAGAACTTTCAGTCAGAGAACTTTTGAAAATTACAAAGAAAGATTCCGAGTGCTAATACAGTACAAAGTATAATTAATGTATTTACAATTCTAATTACATGCTATTTGATAAACAAATAAATTTTCCTAAATATATTTCTTATCTCTCTTGTCACTAGATGTATATCACTTATTCGATACTTAACAATATACTACAACTAATATTTAATTTAAAAAAATTGTACGGATATTATTATTATTAATAATTATACAGAGATTTTCCGCAAAGTTAATCAAATATCTCAAAAATTTCTATGATTTAAAAAAAGTAATTTCTGATGTGTCATTTCTGAGTTGTAGAGTTGTAGAGAAATTGTAGAGTATTAAATTTTCTACAAGTTTGGTTATTACCACTTTCACTCTAAAGTTGAAAATAAGCGAAATATTTACAAAATCACCCTTCTAATCAAAATGGCGGCTAACGCTCCAGGGTTAGAATCCCGAAAATCCGGTTTTAGACTATTCATGACCCTCCGAAACAGTCAAAAAAAAAAAAAATTGCTTCCCGGAATTAATTCCATTTAAATGTCTCTATTAACTGGGCTAACGTCTCCGTACGTCTACTCCAATAGTGATTTGTTTCTTAATTTTCACAATGTGTGAGGCTTATATATAATCTTTTTAACTATTGCTTTGGTTTGTATAATAGATGCTCGCTTATTGTCCCTTTTATGCGGGGTCAACAATGCGAGTCGTAAGAAATGGACCTATCACAATCGAATTTGAGGAGAATAATCAATCGACTGTGATTGGTCAATTCTTACGACTCACGACTTTACGACTCGTATTGTAGACCTAGCATCTAGCATAAGCTGCAATTTCATGGACGCTAGAAACCAGCGGCAGCGTCAAAGCAAAGCTGTCTGCTGTCAGCTGTGGTTGTGTTGTGGTGAGACTGGTGAGTAACGAAACGCAACTCGAGTGATGTCATCCGGGAGTTGCCATTCTCCTAATCAGTGAAGAGGTTATGCTATCGTCGTCAGAAGGTATTAAATTAATCTTATTTGCACTCTTCATGTTTAATCCTTTTGTTGCCAAGAAAAAATATTCAAGTATAACTCAAAATTGAACTAAATCGATGATCTGTTGAATTTCATCACAAATGTCGCAATATGTTTTTTTCAATTAATAGGAAAAAAATTTATAGATTCAAAAGTAATCATACATTCTTATATCATCAAGAATCAGACTAAAAATATCTCTCTACAATCGGCTTTTATCTGATTGTTAACAGTTTCAAAGCACGCACATTGGATCTCGATATCGAATTCTAGCCATTTGGAAGTTGAAATCAAATAAATATAAATTCGAGAATTTTGTAGCAAGGAAGACAAGAGAAACGTAGCTGGTGGCAAGTACAACTGGAAACACATCAAGGATGTTCTCAAGCGGGCCAAACTATACCAAGTTGAAGACGCATTTGCGTCTAGCGATCAACCGGTTGAAATTGCTGGAAAAGAAGAAAAAAGAAGAAATCAGTTGTTTTCACGGCTATTCAAAATCAGTTGTTTTCACG